CTCAACTCCTAAACCCCAAACCCTAAACCCTGTAAACGCTCGACCCCTAAACCCCAAACCCCAGGCTCTCAGCAGTAGCCTGGGCCAGCTGCAAGGCCTCGCTCTTCCCTCGCAGCTCCCCGGGCAACTGGCCGAACGCCTTCAAGGGGTTTAGGGGTTAGGATTTAGGGTTTAGGGTTCAGGGTTTAGGGTTTAGGGTTTAGGGTTTAGGGCTTAGGATTAAGGCTAGGGCTGAGAGTTTGCGCTTGGGGCTTGGGGTTTAGGGTTTTAAGGCTTTTTGTGTTTGGGGTGTCAGGGCTTGTCGCAATTCTTCAGAAGGTTCTTTAACGGCTACTATAAGGATTCTACAATATAGGTGCCTCAACGGTTACAATAGGGTTCCTCTGAAAGGCTCCACAACGGGGGGGGTTCTGCAATTAATTGCATTAGAGTTCCTTGAAAGGGCTCTAAACGGGTTTTGCAACACAGGGGCCAACACAAAAAGCACGGCTGGGTGCTTGCGCTGAGGCCTTGGATCCGACGTTGCAAGTTGCGCTATCGGGTTTAGGGTTAAGGGTTTAGGGACCTCCAGGAGCCTGTGTCTGGGATCACGCTGGGCCATCATGGGTTCTATCAGAGCATGGCGCGAAACTTGTTGTTTGCTGCGGACGGTGCAGCGTGGCGTAATCTCAACGGAACAGCTAGCGACGTCTAGCTCGCGCGATGAGGGAAGCATGGGATGAAACTCATTCTACAGTGTGTGTATATATATATAGATAGATATAATATATATGTACATATGTGTAAGTCTAGATAGAGGGGGACAGTATGCAGCAAAAGTACACATGCAAAGTGTGTATTTAAACTGCATATGTGCATATCCACACATAGTGTCTGCATGCGAGTTGAGTCCTATGATGTGCAAGTGTACATATCTACATGTGTGTGTATATACTTACAAAAACATGTATGTGCGTATGTGTATATATAAGTCATGTAATAGCGCTCTCTCTCTCTCTCTATATATATATATATATATATATATATAGCTATAATATTACTATGCAATTGAAATTGTACATTTCAATATATATATATATACGCACATTCTGATATCGTAAACATTACAAATTATGTGTTGTAGATCATGTATTATATACATATATGTGATATATATATATATATATGTAGTATATATACACATATATGGATATGTATGCTAGATGATAAACACGTAATATTACGAAAAAACAATTATGATGTATACATGAAAAATTGTGAGCACTATATGATATGTTATACATTATCCTATCTTTTGTAATGTTGGCATGCAGTAGATTATTGCTATGTTTCATTTATGTTTATATTATCTTGCATTGTATTGTGTTATTTTCTACTATAGTATCTTATCTTATATTGAATTATGTTATCTTGTATTACACCCGTCATGCTATTGTAACATGTTATACTGGATTATTACATACCTATATTCTAGACTATAGATATATATATATATATACCCACCTACATACATCGACAGACGCATATTCAGACAGAGAGAATTGCTTATTCATCTGTCCATGTATTCATGTAGCATATGTGTTCACTGAGTTTTTTTGCTTATCATCTGTGCGTAACTGCTACAGCGAGAAGCATACACATAAGTTGATTATGCTCGCTTCCTTCTCGCAATGCCTCTGTCATGCCAGGTGCCTGATCGACCCTTAAAAATGGAGGCTGGGCACCCTTGGACCCCGCAAGCCGTGGGCACCTGGAATATGACGAGGCGAATGGGCCTATGAAATTGACAAAACCCTGTCTCACTTGGAGAGCTCCTTGAGCTCTTTCGGGACCGGGCAGGGCTGGAACTTCTCGCCGGCACCGAAGGTGAACTTGCAGGCAGCCTTCCCGGCCACGCGGCCGAAGACCACGCAGTCCAAGAGCGAGTTGCCTCCCAGGCGGTTGTTGCCGTGGATGCCGCCTGCTGCCTCCCCCGCCACGTAGAGGCCAGGGACGGGCTTGCCGGTCTTCTTGTCGATGCACTCGGCGTCGACGGTGCACTCCAAGCCACCCATGCCTCATCAGCTTCAAGGCAGGAAAATGCTGCGATGGAGGCAAGCTATTCATGCTCTACCTAGACATATGCAAGCTTCAAGCCACTAAGTTTACGCTACACCTCACCAGATCACCAAGCAAGCTACAGTAGTGGATCACCGGGGTGATGATGGCAACATAGAAGGGCTCGGTTGGCACCTTGGAGCCGTCGATGATGTTGTGGAAGAACTTCTTTCCGCTGCCGGTCTTGCCACTGGGCTCGTCCCAAGTCTTGCCCGATGGGTAGGCCGGAAACGGGCCGCCATCGGGGTCCTCGAGCAGTTGTATGATATGCAACAAAGAATGAAACACCTCAGAACGGAAACCATCTAGAATCTAGACGACAACGGCGACTGCAGGACAGATGCGAGCCGCGCTCCTTCTCCTGCTTCTTGGCAGCCTCGAAGTGCTTCTGGTGCGCATCGAC